CAGCAGAGAATGTCAACATTCAAAAAATACGTCGGTGAAAGATCGAATATTGCACTACATTCTTGTATATTCGGACCCTCACTGGTGTATGTCGACAATCACAGATATGCTCTGGTGAAAGTCGAAAAGAGAGGTTATAAAGTGCCATAATAGTTTTAGTTGTTGCAATAAATAAGATTTGAATCACATAATTTAGTAAGTTTATTACTGTTATTTTATTTTCTCATTTAGAACGTAATGTATAATTAAGTAAGTTTTTAACTTCTATTATTTTTCCTTTCTCATTTTGAATGTATTGTGTGTTTTAGGTTCTCATATTCTTAAGTTCTTATTTCAAGTCTCAAGTGCGTTTATTCGCGACTGAATTACGGAGAAGAAAATATAATATTGTTATATGTTTAACATTCACCATTAGTACATGGTGAATTTCGACATTGACCGGTGTAAGTCAGAAATAAGAGTATTTGGAAAATATTTCGGACATACACCAAGAGACTATGTGAATGTTGACATTCACCGGTGAAAGTCGACATTCTCCAGATTTCGGTGTTTCACCGTAACATATATATAAATGACAATGAAATATGCCAATCTCTTAAAAACAGTTATATAAGAAATACGATGAAAAATTGTTGCCAAACCCATATTTCTAAAAGAATGAAACTATTCAAAATGATGCGATTTCATCAAAAATTTATCAACAACAATAAGACGGGAAAATTGTTGCCAAAATCACATTTTTAAAGATGTGAGATGTGAGAAGTGTACTCGGAATCTTCATTTAAAAAATCTTTTAAAAATACAAAATATTATCATTTTTCCAAAATTCTTTTTGTAAAAGCAGTCGCAAGGATGAAAGTTTAACGTGTCCAAAAATCAAAGAAAAATAAACTGTACATTTTAAAAAATAAACGTTTTTAGAAAAAATCCCGTTGAAAAGGTGTCAAGCTCCCTTTGTTAAATAAATTCGTATTTAATCGATTTATTGAAACACGAAATTTATTTTAAGTTCGTAAAATAGCTAAGTGCTTACGTTTCATGACGATGTGAAAATGGAGCGTGTAGAGTAAAATCTCGCTTTCCTATAGCCCATTATGTCTCAAAATGACGCTATTTCGTCACAAAACATAAAATAAAAAAAATTCTAATTCGAATTTCGAAAAAATCGCTTCGAGGTGCACTGGCTCTTGTCTAGACGTACCTATGTACCAAATTTCGTAGCCGTGGGTCTATTAGCTTAAGCGCAGCGCGAAAGAAAAACACACACACACAGACAAACTCTTTATTTTATTATATGTAGAGAAGAAGATAGATATAATCACAAGCAGTCTATTTTAATCATAAAAGGATTTTTTTTAAAAACGCTGTTTTAAACTCATTGCAAAACTTTTCGAATTTACAGACTTCGGGCCGCTCAAATTCTTAATTTTACTTTCTTGAGAGATATTTGTGAAATGCTTATAAGATTTCTGAACAATAATTGTAATTATTGTTGCTGTTATTAATATTATATTCATTGATCTATTACAAAGTAGAAGACTTAAAAGGGAATATATCTAATTAAAAAAAATTCTACTGATGTTTCACCATTCTATTAACTGACTTTTATTTTGTTACTAAGGAAGAGCACTTCAAGAATTTTTCTGTCGTTATACACTGATTATTACTTATGATTAATTTTTATTATATTTTGTGGTTCGCTTTGTTGAAAGAAAATGTAAATTAATCCAACCAAATAAAATAATGCTTACTAGATTTATAAAGCGTATTCTAATGGCTATATAAAAAAATATTTTCTCAAGTATGGACTCAAAACGTATAATTCCAAATATGAAGTTTCTCGAAATAAAGTAGAGAATTTGCGAAAAGCGATTCAGCACTGAATGTAAGAAGTAGGAAAGGCAATTATAACCTTTAACGTTTATGAACTTAGATGCAAAAAGGACAGTTAGTAGCATATTCAGCACGATTTAATGAACTAAATACTTGTAGTTTTCAGATGATTTAGTAAATTAAATACTTTGTATTCTTCACATATAGAATTCGGACAGATTCTCGGGAACAAATTCGGAAGACTTTTCAGTATTTTAACAATGAAAATTTACTATTTTCCCTGTAAAATCGGAGAGCAGCTATGAAGAAAAAATTATCTGTGAATTGCAAAAATGAAATAAAAATTGTTTTTGAAATAGAAACTGATTACGATTTTCGCGATTCAAAAAATTTATACACCCAAATTGGATAAAATAGATGTGGAACATCGTATTTCTGTCGCACGAAGGTAAAAAAACATATAATTTCGAATTTTTTGCGCATTTGTGAGGGGTATAATTCTTGCTTTAAATTAAACTAATATCTATTTTACTAAGCGGAATTTTAACTATGATAATATACAAAAGGCAGATTCTATGTTCCCAGAATCTGCCTTCCTACCATTTCTCAAAATGATTTTATAACATTCTCTGTTTTTAGAAACTTTTCAATCAGAAGTACATAAGTAGCATCACACAAATGAAAATTATAACCATATTTTTCTAAACTTTTATACATTTTTATGGCATCATTTGCCTTACTTTAATTTAAAATCTGTTACTATTTCTTTAAGTTCCATTTCTGGCATGCAAACAATAGCAATTTGAAAGTTTGTTCAATCCAAATAAAATTAATATTTCAATTTAATTAATTGCAGTTAATTATAGAATAATATTATTTATGCTGAAATTTTCGGTCTATAAATGATGACAAAGATAACTGTCAAAGAAATTTATAGCTTCTCCTTTTTTGCCCTTCTTTTCCCCCTCAGAAACGATGCACATTTATACTTATATGTGCTACTACCGGTTACTCGGATTTCATTAATATCGTATCGTAGCATATCTGTCGGAAACCAGATATTTCAAAAGATTGCCTAGAAAAGAGAGTTGAAAGTGAGGGGGGATAACAATAAAAAAGCAGACGACACCCGCTGAGGAAAGGGCCACTAATGAATTTGATGGATGACACAACGAAGCTTACGTATCGGAGATGTTTGAGGGTGGGTGGAAGAAGTGAGTTTCTAGAGAGTCAACCGGAGTGATCTAATGGACATTCATTTGCTTTCCGGTTGAATTTCATGAGTATTTTTACATCGTTTATGAGCTTTTTTACTTTGTACAATATATAATTTTAAATCACTCTTTGTAGAACTAATTATGAAGATGGCAATGATATGATCCCAAGAATGAATTGCACGAATATTGCTTAAACATTCATCTTTTCCCGGCTAATTATTTGTAAAATTTCCAAAAAAAAATATATATATATATACATTCATATTTATATAATGTGTTGATATCAGTATTTAAACTGATGATGTTTTTAATATTGTGTTTTATTTATTTATTTATTTTTAAGTACACCTTGCATACACACACACACACGCACACAAAAGGGGGCAGTTCTATATATCCCGTTCTACTGGGCTGATTGACGAATTGACGAAATTTTACCTACGTTTTTCACGTCTCGAAAGCGCGACTAAGGATGTATATTAGATTTATGCATAGTGACTTTCTAACGTAGGTATTCTGACACGATATCGTATTCTAAATTTTTCTGAAATGATATACGTATTTTTTTCCACATTTCGACTCTACGACTCAAATTATGCCAAAGTTCCAAGTTCGCACGAGTAGTTTTTAAAAAATTAGCTCTCAAACTTTTAGTTTCTCAGTGTTAATTGAATTTGGTATATATTTATTTAAACTCTCGTTTTTTTCCATTAAACTTACCTGCTTCCTTTTTTCAAAGTTCTAAATTTAGGTTCAATCCAAATAAAATTCGTAGATAATTTCTAGTTTACTTCTAAATTTGCATTTTTTCGTAATTTTTATAAATTTTTCGAAAAACGTTTTTAAATTATAGCCTATAATATTTTTGCCATCACCTTAAAGTAGATATATTTCTAGGTATACTTGCAAGAAATTATAGTTTTTTATGCAAAATTTCGAAAAATTCGCGTATATTTATTTATATAGTGGTACGTATAGAAATCTCTCTTATAAGCAATAAAAACGTCAAATGTGCTTTACGCACTTTGTTAAAATTGTTTGAAAGAATGAACGACCCACATTTTTTTTTGCTTGTGCGCAAAGAAAAACAGGGAAACGAAAATAGGTTACTATAAATTAATAATTTCGTCAAGTGAATTCATTCTTGGCGCATATTGAGAAAAGTCCCCTAGAATAAATTTTTAAATTTCTCGGTAAGATTCTCGCCAAGTCTTACAAAATTTTATATTTAGGCATAATTCGAGTCGAGTTATGCCTAAAATTATACCAACAAAAGAACCATAACGTATCGATATGAAGAATCGAAGTTCGAATTATTGGAAAACTTTTTGAAAATTTAGAATTGAATTTGAGAAAATTTAAGATTCGAATTTTTAATATAATGCGGATGGCCTTACAGTGTAGTTAGTTTTAGCCCTTCATATATAAAAACAAAACAATTTAATTTCGTACACTTTCAGAAAAATCAAGTTTAATTTTTTTTTTTTTTTTTAAATTTTCTACCTTTTATTTTTCTTCTTAGGTTTTAAGATCATATGTTTTTGATTACATTTATAAGAATTTTTGCTTCTTACTTTAGTTTTAATTGCAGAGATTTATATTTATCTGCCTATCTTCTTATAGTTTTTTGAAAAATAGCCCATAATATTTGAAAGTTCCAGAGCCCATATTAAAAATTAAAAAAAAAATGTTTTTACAGTCGATTAGCGTTCACGTTATTTACACTTCTAGAACAATGAGTGATAGGAAAGATAAGACTCCCTCAAATTAAACCTAGTCATTTTCAGTTGCTGATCCTTGCTATTAGTTCTCTTGAAAACTTCCATCTAGATGAAGATACTTCTGGTGATAAGATTGTGTATCCTCCAAGTTGCAGGTGTTGCTATTTCATCGTCACTGAGCGTATGTCCAAATTCCCACGATTTCTGTGGTTCAGTTTATATGTTGAGGAACACGTCAAAGTATACTTAGCAATTTCCTCCTGAGGTAAGTCTAATAATATTTTATGATTCAAAACAGTTTGCAATAACGAATATTTGAGAATTTTTTAAATGTCTGTATTTTAATTCAAGGCAAGGCAAATCATATTTCAAGAAATTAAACGTGAGCTTGAATTTGATGGTTCAGTTTTTTTAAAGATTTGTTTCTTTTAACAACAACAACAACAACAAAAAAAAAAAAAGTAATAAAATTTAAAAGGATTAAGGTGAAAAAGGTTAATTATATTAAAACTAATCAAAAAAGTTTTAAAGACTAGACATTATAAGATATTAGCAATTTAGTTAATACTATGACCATAACTGAATGATGTAAAGACCACATCATTATTTTATCACCTGCTATGACTATAATTCGTTTTAAGCTGGTAGAATAGTACTTTTAGTTACTGGTATGATGTGGACAACAGAAAAATATCCCCCTCAAAAAAAAAAAAAAAAAAAAAAAAAACTTATTTTCTTTTTTCCACAGTTTAATTTAAAATTAGAAAATTAGAATGAAATTTTTATATAATTTGTTTTCTTTTCTCTATAAAACGTAAACATGAGTCAAGAGAGGTAGAAAGGAGAAAAATATTACTTTTCTTTAATTAATCTGATCTCAACGTTTCTACTTTTCTTGATATTTGTTCATTTGTGTTTGGTTTATTATTTCTCGTTAATCTTACTACGATTATTTCTAACATAAACGAAGATTTAATTCTAGACGCAAAATTTTGCATCCGGTTTAATTTATTTTTCTGCAAGGATTTACGTGAATTAAACAGTTAAGTAAAATTTATCTTAGAGTATATTGTTTGATATATTGTTTACATATATTATTTATATATATTGCATATATATTGTTTACATATTATTTTATATATTGACATATTACAATGATTAATATGGAATATAACTTTTAAACTACAAGCCTCATTCTTTATACCTTGGGCCATTATTGTTATGCGTTTATGAATTTTAAATAAAATAATAATTTATAAAATAATGCAACAAGGGTTGGGATTTATAAAAACAGGTAGTCTAGTTGATAACTGAATGAATAACCATTTTACCACAAGAGCTCACCGAAGAGGATCATCATATTTCGTTATACATTCATAATTGTTTATAACAACATTTTTTTTAACTAGACAGTATTTAAAATATTATTTGAGAAGAAGTGTTTTTGAAGAAAATTCTGTTTAAAGTATGTATCGAAAATTATTTTTATTATTGCTGTTTCAGTTATATTTAATTATCTAGTACGCTCATTTTAAATTATACTCGTACTTTAAAAATTTCTGGTAAAAAGTTTGAAAATGTTTACTGTTTTTTCCCCCAAGACAGTTTTTATATTAATAAAAGATTAAAAATCATTATTCTAAAATATCACAAAATTGTTAATAAAAGTAGACAAATAATATTAAGAAAGAATGAAGTTAAACAGGTTATTCATAAAGATATGTCAGACATAGTTACTTGCTTAAAGAAGTATGCCATTTAAAACTGACAAATTAACTCCCCCCCCCATTTGTCACAGACTGTTTTAGTAGTTACAGAAACTATGTTACAGATAGTACACATGTTTTCGTTAAGTGAAGAATCAGTCTATGATTTAGTCAGTGAATACACGAGAGTTTTTTCTCTAAAAAAGGCTGTTAGATTAGATTTTCATCAATTATCACAAAGTAAATAATTCATTTTAATAACACGAGTGGAAATGAAAAGCTGGTTTGTGAATGAATTATTAGATAATATCTGACGGTAAATTAATAATTGAAATTTTCAGTTGCTCTTTTTAATTTTTTTCCATCTTTCTGTGTGTGTGTGTGTAATTATGGCAAAGCCTCGAGGGCTATCTGCCTAAGAGGAGGGATGCCTTCGTGGAGGACTTTCTAAGGGAAACTGGCTCGTATACACGTTACACATGGGGAAAACCACGAAAACGCCCATGCAGCCAGCCCGTTCGCGGGATTCGAACCTCGGACCGAACTACCAGTGTTCAGCGACTTTACCGCTCGGCCGCTGGGGGGCCCATCTTTCTGTGTTTGTGTGTGTGTATAATTGTGGCAAAGCCTCGAGGGCTATCTGCCTAAGAGGAGGGATGCCTTCGTGGAGGACTTTCTAAGGGAAACTGGCTCGTATACACGTTACACATGGGGAAAACCACGAAAACGCCCATGCAGCCAGCCCGTTCGCGGGATTCGAACCTCGGACCGAACTACCAGTGTTCAGCGACTTTACCGCTCGGCCGCTGGTGGGCCTTTTTCTGTGAGAAAAATGACAATATTTATTAGTCATTTTGTATATTTGTCATAAACTATTTATAAAAATGAGTAAAATTTATATGAAAGCGGAAAAATAAAATGGTTGAGAAAAATCTCGTTAAAATTTAAATTCCCAAAGAACTTCTTTTATGAGAAGCGTTTAATTTGAAAATTTGTTTCCTAATTAAGATTGAATTTTGTTTAAAAGGCCATTGAAATTAATATAAAATATTCTAGTCATAGGTATCCGGCATATAGTTTATTCGGAAATAAAATAACCATAAGCAAAAAAAAAAAAAAAAAAAAAAAAAAAAAAAAAGGAACCTATGCGCCTATCAGGAATTCAGGATATTTCGCAAGCTTATCAGGTTCTGTGTTCCTTCTTACTTGCTTTGGGAACATTAACTGTCCTGACTCGGAACAGGGAGCTTACTAAAGCTATGTTCAATAAATTTGGAAGTTGACAATACACACAGGAAGGGTATTACGAAACCCTTTATTTTTTCTCTTTACAATGATTCCGGACTTCGGAAACAGAGACCAACCACTTGTGGTCTGAACGTAAGAATATAAAATATTAACTAAACTCTAACTAAACTAACTTTGGATTAATCAAACAAGTGCCTAACTCCAAGATTGGCCGTATATAACAAAAAGCCGTCCGTAGGTAGTACAGAGAATGCTAACACTACGATACGTTTAAAATTATCAAGAGGATTAAAACCTCTGGCCTTGAAGGCAACCAGCAACCGAGTAAAACTGCTATGGCAAGCGGCCTGCTTCTAATAGCTCCTTCCTCTCTCTTGCTTGGCAAAAAGCCACAACTTAAGTACTTGGTAACTTAAGTACTTGCAAGACAAATTTGCATAAATAAGTTAAAACTTTTAATTCTGGCCGGAAGTAGAAAATAAAAAGTGATAGTAAAGATTTAACATAAAATAAACGTTAGTAAAACTTAAGATCCTTACAAGCTGTCAGTTATCGTATTAGGTCCGCCTTATCTATGGTTTAAAAGCAGTTGAAGCATTTAATCATAATTCAAGATTTACGGGACAAATAAAAAAGAAACTCATTGGAAGAAAAATTTAACGGACCTCCCACCCCCATAAAAAAAGAAAGAGAAAGATCTAACGATGAACTAACGTTAAAGGTTATAACGTCTCGTTTATTTTGCTATCATAAACTAAGCTCGACGTTCGAAGACTGTTTAAAGAATTATCTTTAAGTCAGGAGAAGGGTGTAAAATACCTTCATTAACTCAGATAAATTTCACAGATGGCACCAACTCATGCTTATGAAAGCCAACACTTTTGACTTAACTCAAAAGACAAAGAATAACTTAAAATTAGTTAAATTAGCACTAAAGGCTTTACAAGTTAATTACCGCTCAGGCTAACTCTGACTGGAAGAATCGGCTTACACAAGCCTAACGATAAGAAGCCCTCAACGCCACAGAAGTCTAATCCATAGAAAATCAAAGACAGCAATGTGCTCTTCAGGCAGGCAGAACAAGCTCTCTTTTTACCTCCCCAAATCTTCCCTTAATATTAACTTCTTTCTACCTCATTTGAATACGCGGGCGCTGGATCATTTACATTCTGACAAGAAAGTGTGAGTTGAAAGTAAGAGCGATGGGAAAGATTGCTTAAACATAGATTAACCGATCATCTTAAACTAGTCCACGTTAGCTCACTTTATCTCGTTGCAAACTTTGATTTGCTGGATTTCATTCTTTATTCCAGTGTTCTCAAACTTAAATTGCATAGGGCCAAATGCAAGATCTGAAATCAATTGACAGGCCAGAGTTCTTTTCTTTTTTAACAAAATGAAAATTTTTTACTAATACAAGAAAAAAGACATTTTAAATAAGTTTCAAAATTCGCTTACTAAATTTGATCAAAACAGATATAAACAATAATAATAACATCGCAAAGAAGAAAATTCAAATTTATACTTATTTTCTGTCTGAAATCTAAAGATTGGTACCTACAATGCATTTTTGTAGGTTACACAATATATTGGCAGCTAAATATTCAATTTTCAGTTTGACAATTATTTCAACTTATTGTAACACAATTAATCATCAAATAACTTATTTTGATTTTAAACTAAAAATAAACAAATTATGAAAACATTCTAAGTTTCCAGAACAAGTTTTCCAAGTAGGACAAAGCTTGAAAATAAATAATCACAACCCAGTCTCTGTCCTTCATTCATTAAATTTTTCATAGCCGTATAAATGAAAATACATATGTTTGTATGTAAACAGTTGTAAACTTTATTTCTTAATATAGTTTGACACTCGATGGCGTTTCGATTCTGATAAAGTTGGTAGCCTCGAAGAGAAATTACTAGATATTGTCTTTACCATGGATAGTACATGTTCATCAAACAATCGCTTTCCTTTTTTATTAATTTTCAACTGTGAAAAATGGCTCTTCACATTTAAACATATTCTTAAACAAAGCACTTTTTCTTAGTGCCAAAATTCGCAGTGCAGTTCACTTTGTCATTAGGTTATTTTTAAAGCAGGAGTGATGTAAAATAAGCAACGCCCTCGCCGGGAATCGAACCACGGACCTCTGGAATAAGCACCAACGTGCAGACCACTACACTACGAAGGCATGCTAAGAAGGTGGGAGAAATATCTTATAAGTTTATTTTTTTTCCTGAAAAGTGCGAATAAAATTTAATCAAATCTGTATCTTTACATCTTTGAAGATTTATATCACATTACAAG